ATGGGCAGATGATATATCTAAGGTAATATAGTAAAGTTACTAAAAAGGATTTGCAAAGAATTTTTTCACACTAACACCGTTGGCAACACTCAATAGGAATGGATGGAAAATGATTCAAAAAGCCTACCCCAAATAGTTAAGATATGGCTAATAATGATAATAAATGATTTAGAGGATAACCGCCCATGTTTGGAATAAACTAAATGGAAAAGGGGGAGAATGTAAAGTGATCAATGAATGTTATAAGGTAGTTTATGTTGGGAAAGTTAACAATCCAAATGAGATGAGAAAATTACTAGATAGAGAGTTGAGAAATAAAATTGTTGAGATGAATCAAATTAGTCATACTGTAATTAGAATTGAGTTAATTATTTTTTAGGAATATTATGTATTATTAGTGTTTATGCTGATTAGATTGGATTCAAAGCATATTTTGAAAAATTAGTTCTGAGCCAGAAATAGGTAAAATGTTAAAATGCATGCCAACATAATAGAGAGTAATTATTCGACTTCAATGATTAGGTGGATTTTAGTAGGATAAGATAAGAGAGCAATCATGGTATATATGAATATGATAAAAGAACATATAGATAAATTAAATGTAAAGGTATCAAAATCAAATATTTATATTTTTTAATTAGATAAAAAGTATTTTTTACTAAAATTAAGATTTGTTCTTAAGAAAAAAAAAAGCAATCAAAAGAAATAGACCCGCAAATATAAGAAGTTGGGATATAAAAGATTGGAAGTAATTAATCTTCAAAGATAGTTTGCTGAGAGGGAGGGGTATATTAACATTTTTAAGTTGAACCGAACTTAATGTGCAATAATATGGCTAATGACAGTAGAAAATTGTCAAACACACACTAGAACATTGTCAAACACACACTTAGCAAGGTAAGAAATAGATTGTACAGAAAAAGACTTCATGGAGTTTGGGAGAACAAAAGATTATTTAAGCAAATAAAGAAAGTTGTTTTAAAGAATGGTGAAAAAAAAATATTATGGAGACAAGAACATTACAAAGCAGCTAAAAGTTCTATAAAATAAAATTGCCTTGCCATGTCTCAAGCCCTTGATAAGAATAGTAAAGGGTAGTGTTAGGTAGTCGACAGTCAGCATAAAACTTGTCAAACAATCTTGACATAAATGATTTAATACATTGTGTTAATGCTAGAGTGTTCCGTGGAAGCGACGTGTTGTATAGTCTGAATACAATGAAAAGTATACAAGGGCCGCTGCATCAATGCCCAATTACAATGCTAAATAAGCAAGGGTTTCCATATCATTGACGGATGTGGGCAAAGAAGTTAGTCCATAAAACTAGAATTAGTGTAGAAACTTGAAATATATGTACTCTTACAGGAAAATTATTTGAATTAATAGATATTATGATACATGGGAAGATAAATACTCAATTTATTAAGGAAAGTAAATGGTTTAGGAAAATGGCAAAGAAGATTTAATAATTTAGGATTTAAACTATGATTTTCTAGTATGAGTCATACTAAAAATGGTATAAATTTACTATTACTAAGAGATTGAAGGATAATGTTATACAAATCAATAGAATTGGATATATAATTATAACTTTAAATATTGGTATTGTTATTAAGATTATTGATGTTATAAGTGTGCAATCTCCAACTAAAAAAAGCTAAAACTCTCAAACATTGAAGCACCTTTTGGTGTACTGGTTTGAATTTCATTAAGAAACTCCGTAGTTAAGCATGTTCATCCCGGAAAAGACCTGGGATGAGTGACCTCCTAGGAAGTTACACAAATATGACAGAACCGTGATGCCCTTAAGCCAAAGCGAAGAATATCTCGATAGTTAAAAGTTTGGGTTGTTAGAAATGATATCATAAAAATACACCATGCGGAATATAAGAACTAAGTGTCATACAAGACAAAGTGCTACGTCATGGGAGCCACCTCTTGAACCCTGTATGGGACAAAGTGCTACGTGGCGTGAGTCACCACTTGAACTTGTAGTGGTTACCTCTAGAATCCTATCTACCTAGTAGATAATTTTGGAATAAAGATGCTAATGAGGACGTCAGTTACTTAAATGAGGGAGATTGTAAAACTCTTTTAAGTAAAAGAAGGTAAAATTCTTAAACATCGAGGCGTCTTTTGGTGTAATGGTTGGAATTTCATTAAGAAACTCAATATTAAGCGTGCTCATCCAAGAAAAATCTTGGGATGGGTGACCTCCTGGGAATTTACACCAACATAATAAATCATAAGGCCCTTAGCCAAAGCCGACTATCTCGATACTTAAAAAATGAGCATCTCATCACATATAAAAATAGTCACAGAAAAATTCAATTTGATTATTTTCTTAAAAGAAAGATAGATCGTTTAAATTGTAATATTATAAAATCATTTTGAGTGAAAATTTATGTATCTTGCATCATTTGTTAGTTTTGAACTTTAAAACGAATGGTTGAAAAATAAAAATAAAGTAAAATATTATCCTAGAATTAGATGGAGATATTTAAAGAAATGCTAATAAAAATATTTTTTAGAGTATGGAGATCTTAAGATTTGACTCGTTCATGAGGAAGCTAATGTTAAATGGGAAAAATTAACTAATGAAATTAAGACTGTTGCAAAGTATGAGCTTGGAGAATCAAAAGAAAAAGTTCCAAAAAGTAAAAATAATAAGTGGTAGAATCAAACTGTGCAAGAAAATATTTAAAAAAAAAAACTTTGTTAAAAAATTAGTTTAGGTATAAAATTCAAAAAATTGAGAAAAATATAGAAAGGCCTGCCAAAGAAAGCATTATTTTATTAAAAGAATTTAGCTTTTAGTGATTTATAAAATAGATTAGATATTAAGAAAGGTAAAAGATGTATGTATAAGTTACTCAAGCAAAGAGATAAGAGAAGTAAAGATTTGATTCAAGTGAAATGCATTAAGAAGGAAAATCAAAAAATATTTTTTAGAAGAGGATATTTAACATGGGTGGATGAGATATTTCAATAAACTTTTTAATAAAAGTTGTGAGAATAAGATTGTTTTTGGTAACCTTAGCATCCTAAATGAAATAAGGATTTTTGTTTTAAGCTCATATTAGTAAAATCAAAGTTGGAGAGGCTTTAAACAAAATTAAATGTGAAAAAATAGTATAACCTGATGATATTTCAATAGAAGTGTGAAAATGCTTAAAAGATCAAGGAATTTCTTCACTTAGATTTTAATATTATTTTGAAGACTAAAAAGATGTTATATGAGTAGAGAAAGAGCAATGTTGATTCTCATTTTTAAGAATAAGAGTGATGCACAAGAGCGTTCGAATTATAGAGAAATTAATTAATGTGTCATACATTAAAATTATGGAAGAGTAACTGAACATAGGTTACGATGTAATAGTAATGTTTCTCAAAATCAATATGATATGATTTCATATCAGGTACGTCTACAATGGAAGTTGTACATTTGTTGAGAGGTTTGATAGAAAAGTACAAAAAGAGTAAGAATGATCAAAATATGAAATTCATTGATTTAGAGAAAACATATGATAAAGTTTCAAGAGAAGTGCTTTTGAGAGTTCTAGAAAATAAAGGATTTAATAATGTTTATGTTCATGTCTTTAAGGATATATATATATATATACAAGAGATGTTACTAGTGTTCAAAAACAAGATGGTTTGACCAAGTATTTTCCTATTTTAATTGGATCACATCAAGAATCAGCTTTAAGAGCATATCTTTTAGTCTTAATCATGGATGTTCTTACGAGACATTTACAAGAAGATGTAATTTGGCTTATGCTTTTGCTGATGATATTCTTCTTGTTGATACGACTAAAAAGATAGTTGATGAAAAAATTGAATTATGGAGGCCAACCTTAGAGTCCAAAGGTTTTCATTTTAGTGGATCTAAAATCGAATACGTGGAGTATTATTTTATCAGTAATAGATCAAATAGTGGGATTGTGACATTGGGTGATCAGTCATTAAAAAGAGTGCACATTTAGATATCTCGGATCTATTGTTCAAAGTGATGAAAAAATATATGGGGATATTACTAGTAGATTTCAAGTTGGAAAGTGGAGGAATGCATCAGGCTTGTTGTATGATAGAAAAGTATCCCTCAAGCTTAAGGAAAAATTTATAAGATGGTAGTGAGACATACGATGCTTTATGTCACATAATGTTGGCAATTAAAAAAGAAATATAAACTTAAGTGTTGCAAAGATGAGGATGCTCAGTGGATGAGTTGCTTTACACATAGAGACAATGAGAAACAAGTATATATGTTAAAAGATTGGAGAAGCTCTAGTGACAGATAAGTTTAGAGAGTCGCCTTAGTCTCTTAGATGATTTAGTCACATAAATGCCAGCCTTTCAATAACCCTATTAAGATAGTAGATATATTAGATGCAGCCTATGTCAAGAAAGGCTGAAGTATAACTAAAAAGAATTGGTTAGAAAGTAATAAAAATAACCCTTTTATTAGATTTAAATAATAATTCAAATCTTAATAAGATACAATGGATAAAGGAATCATGTAGCCGACCCCCCACATAAAGAAAAATAAAATGAGATATAGTTGAGATAAGGCTAAGAAAGATGGCAACGAAAATAACCAAAAAGAGATGAAGGAGATAATAGAGAATTTTATCAAGTTAGATGTATTAAACATCATGATAAAATCGAAGTAAAAATGAAGACGTTAAAGAAATAAAAATAGTAATTAGAGAAATTATTAAATAATTCTAAAAAAGAAATCCTTTTAGTACAGTAAATTGAGCAAAATGATGAACTTTATGATCGATTAAGCAAAAAATATTAAGTTATTTTAGACGATGATATGAGTAAAGCAACAGGTTTAATAGTATACCTACTGACACCTAAGTTATTGGAAAGTTTCTGGAGATGATATTGGAGCATCCACTCACCATAAAGAACAAAGAACATAATGAAGATAGTCACAATGGTGAATAGTTATTCAGCAACGACTATTGTATGGAAAGACGACATATATATACCTTAAACATTCCTTCCAGTTTATTAGTGAACTGGCTCCCACACTCGGTCTTCAGCTGAAATCACATAAGTTTCTTGTTATTAAGATTGACAATCTGAAAAAGCAAAATGCAAAGTGATAACTGATGAGCATGAAAATCGTCAACTAAGCAGGCATTACTTTTGATATCATAGATTTTTCAGCATCAATTGATGCACTCTTTCCCAGTAATAACCTTTTTGCAAGATCCTTCTTATAAAATGCCTCGAAAACATCTTTACCCTGTTCATGCAAGAACAAAACAGGAGCTACGTTAAAAAAAAGGTAAAAAGGAAAATAAAAGAAATTGGCGCTTGATCTGCATAAATTAATTCTTAAAGAGACCCCAAGACAAATTTAATTAAAAGGATAACAAGAAAATGTGTCTAGAAGTGATACAATACCTAGAATAGCGTTAAAAAGAAAAACTTCTCAATATATTGGGTACATACTTGTATGAATCTGAATAAGACCAAAACTCTATCAAGAGTGCCCTCCAACTCTTCTTCAGAAGTACCCTTGTTTCCAGCACGAAGCTTCTCGTCCAAGAACTTTGCAATCAATTCTGCAGGTCTATTCTGTTAAACAGATATAACATAGGTCATAATGCTGTAGCTTACATTTACTGCATCATCATGGATAAAAAGGTTGAAGACTTTGTTGTAACGATTTATGCTCTACTTCAGTGATGCATCTTGGAAACTAGTAAATCATAGAAATCGCATTTATAGAAATTGTATGCTAGTCATTAACACCAAAATATCAGAAAAGAGTTTTTTCCCTTTTATGCTGAGTTTTCCTCAAAATTGAGAAGCAGGCTATTGCACAAAATTGAATAGCAAGATCCTCGATTAAAGGCTGCCACAAACAAAGAAAAACCTTGAAATCACAAAGAAAAATTGTAGTATATACCAGTATGCATTGGATGTTTTGTAACTAAAATTTATCCATCTACATATTGCGTAGTACATAACAGCTACAGAACAAGAGACAAATAAAATAAAAGAAATGTAACGCATAGCTATGATCTTCATAGTAACTTTTAAAGCCAAATATGGCATCTAAATAATAGTAAGAGAAATCTCTTGGAAATGTTTTGCCATTCTGCCACACATGAAATGCAAGAAATGAATTCATTCTTCAGCCAAATAGCATCACATAAACTCAGGCCACCGGAGCAGGTGTAGGACCCTCTTAAGTAGTCTGGTAAGTGATGCCATGGATGTCCACCTATATTTTTTTGGTTCAGGCCAATAAAATGAGATTTGTTGCTGCCATAGAGAATATTTTCATGACAAAGAGCATCATATTTGTAGCCAAGAAGTTACAAAAAGTAAGATTGTTTCGTCAAAGAAAAATGGCACGTAGGCATGAATCCCGCTTCACACACGTAGGATTCCATTCTCCTTAAGGCATATTATAGTTAATCAGATTTCCCCTGAAAGTGGTATCAAGGTTTATTTAGATCCGGGTCCTTACTTCCTATGAGTGCAAGCCCTCATAATTAATTAACTCTCCTATCACATAGAAGAGAACTCTTGATTAAAGATGAATTGACATTTAGATGTGCAACAACGTAAGTATTTAATTTTATTTGTGGGAATGATGGTAGACATGATCAAGATCCCATGGTTCTATCATCCTGGGAATACCGTAGGCTTCAGTCTGCTAACAATAACAATCGTTGATCGTAGTGTCTAGGAAATCTAATTAGCAGCCATAGATTGTCTCCTCTCATGGATCCCGAGTAAATTTAAGTGGTTGAATGTAGGTTTTGTTGGTTTAGATTGGGACTTACAGCTCCGCTTGAGAGTCTCCCGTAGTTTAGATTTAGATTAGGTCATAAAACTCCGTTTAGGAGTTGCCCGTATGTTTGGATTTAGGTCGGGGCTTATAACTTTCATTAAAAGTAACCCGCGTATTTAAGAGGTTTGATCAAGGATGGGTCTTACCACTTACATTGGAAGTAGCCCAACGGTTTGAATAAGGACGGGTCTTATTGCCATTGGAAGTAGCCCAGCGGTTTGAAACTTGAAAGTGGGTCTTATTGCTTCTTTTTAGAAAGTAGCTCATGGTTTCAATTTAAGACAAGTCCTACGGCTCTGCTTAAGGATTGTTTGTGTTTGGATAGGTCTTACAACTTCTACATTAGAAGTGGTCTAAAGGTGAGTCTTACAACCTAGGCCTATAAGTAAGGAAACACGCGTTGTTTAGCGGGGTTATGTTACTTTTACCTAGGGATTTCCTCTAATACACTAACTAAAGTCGGACTTATGACCTCTATTAGAAGTTGCCGAGTTTTAGGTCAACGGGGATTTAGCTTAGCAGGGTTTAGCAATATATATGTAATTTTACACACTTCAATGCTTCGATATCCTTACGAGAGTCTTGTTTTGTCTATAGTAGCAACTTTACTTGTTGTACTAGCTCTTCTTACTAGCTTTGCTTCAGTAATAGCCTTGCCTACAGTAGTAGTTTTGTTTCTTTTCCAGTGCTAGCTTTCCCTCTTCAAATACTAGTTTTGTTCTTTCCAGTACTAGTTTTTGTTTACCCTGTGGTGACTTTCATTTACTTTTCTACAGGTGTTCGTGGTTAGTAGTTGGAGGAGCTACAGGATTTGCCAAGAGCTGGAGCTTGCCAAAGCAAGAGCTTGTAGCTGCAGTTGCAGAGGTTTACGGTTGCTTAGGATTTTGGAGCTTTCTTTCTATTTTCTGTTTTCTTTAGTTTTAGGACTTTGGTGTTAGTTGGTGTACATTGTATTTATGGTTGATTAGTAGAAAAACATTGTTTTCTTGTTTTTCATGCTTTAATAAAAAATGCAAACTTTATCAGAGTGGCTCTCCCCTCAATATTTTCTACTTGCATTTTTTATTATTTTTAACTTAACTAATTTAATTTTTTAATTTTAATTAAATTGAAGCATAAATGTAAATTTTAATTAAATTAAAGTTTAAAGTTTAATTTAAAATTAACTGCTCAACTCTTTAATTGATAAAAAAATTTAAATTTATTTAATTAATTTAATTTATTATTTAAATTTTGGTTGATCAATTAATTTAATTAATTTAAAGGTTTAATTTATTAATTAGATAATTATTAAATATTAACTAAAAGATTTAGTTTAAAATTAATTAGTTTAAATAAATTAGAATTTAATTTTATTTTAATTAGTTATCAAATTAAACTAATTTTTTAAATTAATTGCTAAATTAGATTTTTATTGTTAGCTAATGTTAATTAGATCATTTAATTGGTTGTTTTATCTATTTAATTTAAAAAATTAAATTAGAGATGTTAATTAAATTAATGTTAATTAGTTATTTTACCTGTTTAAGTTAATTAATATTTCAAGTAATTATAATTAATTAATTGTTGTTTTAATTATTTAATTAATTTATTAATGAAAAGTTCTAATTATTTCATTAATTAATTAAGTAATTTTGATTAATTAATGGTTTTAATTATTTAATAGCCTTCGGGGGATTAAAATCGACCCTGGAATCTTTCTTTGCTCTTAAATTCGACAATCGAAGTATTTTTTGGTTCCATATTATTATTATAATTATAATTATTATCAATATAATTATGTAAATGCCCTTATTCTCTTCCCTCTCACCTATTGTTGCAAGATAGAGAGAGGTTTGGCTCGGGCAAGAATCGAACAGAGGGATTGATCGGGATTTGAACGAGAGGAAAGGTTCATGTATAGGTAAGGGAGGCGAACGAGCGGCTCGGGAGATCAATGCGGCTCGGAGCTGCTGGCGGTCATTCGGTCGTGATCGGGGTCAGACACCAAAGGCACAGTAAGAGGGCCGCTCGCGCTGGAGTTCAGAGGGGAAATTTGGTTGGACGGCGAGATCGGAGGTGGAGGCATGCGGGCTTCGCACGTTTACAGGAGGCGAACAGTAAAGTCGTTCGAGAGAGGCAAAGCTGATAGACAAGGCTTCGGGTTTTGCTCGGGGAAGGTCGGAGCGACAAGCCTGGTTGACGGTCGTAGGAGGAAAAGGGAGATTGCACAAGATCATCGGGATTTCAATCCAAAACTGATCATAAGTGAGCCTAACTTTCTTCATTCGTTCCTCAGTCGTTTTATAAGAAATGAACCAATAGTTATTTCAAGAACGTGAGGGAGGAGGAGATGTGCGTGAGAACAACATGCTTTCCCCTCTTTCTTTTATTTAATTAATTTTAATTCAATAAATTTGATAAAAAAAATTTATTAGATTTCAATAATAAATAAAAAAGGCATTGCAGGGCAAAAGAGAATATGTAAATCAGGATAAGAGATGCGCACAAACCTGACGAAGATTTATTAGATGTTCAAAGGAATCCTTTATGGTATTTGAAAAAGCTTCATTTCTAGAGAAACTTTCTTCCAATATTGTATCAAGAGATGCTTTAAAATCCAAGAGACATGGAACCAACTCTTTGTCCTTTTCTTCATCCATAATAATTCCCTGCCCTGTGCCCTTGATGTATGAACCTAAAGCCTGTCTTAGCAACTCAAGAGCATTCACTCTCGTGAAAAGGGTATACAGCCTTTTAAGGTCAACAACACGCTTTGCATCCATGAGCATCGTGAACCCCTGGTCAACACAAAACTTTGTGGGATGAAGTAGATGAACTTCCAAGAGTAATTAAGAAAGCACAAGGAAAATAAGCTGCAGAAACATCACCTTGTCAAGAATCGCAGATGTATGTCGTTCAAGAAGTTGTTTCTCAGTGGTAGCAATAAGTGGTTTCCTTGTATTTGCATCTAAGTAGAGCAGGCACCTCTCATGCTCTTCGTGTAACCTCAGCTACAGTTTTGCAGCAAATTAAGGAAAAGGACAAATCATGATAACATAGTGGAGTAAGTAATGCTTATGCAAGCATTTATGAGTCTATTTACATATGATGCACAAATTTTGTGCCGTTTATCATCATAAATGTGTCTATATCCATAAAAAACACAAAGATACGGAAACATTAAAATAAAGTAAATGAACTCCCCCTGCTGACTATAAGTGTCTGCAGATTTAACACACCTCCACATGTTTCAAGTAGTCTGGAACATCAGACTGTTGCATGAATTTAACACCTTCAGAAGCATAGAAGTCGGAAGTACTTTGAAGAAAGGGTTTCTCAAAGATTTCTGCATAGGTTCCTAGAGCAGTAAACATCTTCAAAAGATGACCAAGCACTGTCCTATCAATAGCTTCACCTATTCTGACCAAAAAAAAAAAAAATTCAAGCGTAAGTCGGCATCCTTAAGTGAAGAACAAAATCAAATAGAATGTGCATCTGATCTGTAAAACCCAAGTTTGCATAGGTATGTGCCACATTGGACTCAATTTAAAAATAACCCAAAATCCCATCGTTCACAAAATTCAACAAATTTAATGTCATTATATTCTATTCATCAAATGGAGCAATTTGTCATATAAACTATATGTCAAAATATAACAAATTAGAAGTTAGGGAATTAAATCTCATTTGTATTTTTTTCTATGTTAAAAAAATATAATTACTGCTTAAAAATGAAAAAAAAATGTAGCAGGGTTAATTAAAGAATTCAGCTAAATCACATATAAAGGCATGCATTCGTGGATGGAATGGGCATTTAAGTAATTAATTTTGATGAGTGACTTAAGTAGCCCTATCAACCTATTCTTCACTTTTTTTTCTTCACTAGGCACTCATGGGTGTGTTGGAGTGGACGCTGGATCACCGGGAGGCGGAACTCATGGAGAATCTTAAGTGCTGGAGGTGTGCTGCCCCGGGGGAGGGGGGGGGAAGAAATTTGAGAAGTTAGGGAATAAGGGAAGAGGAAAAAAATAGAATCAGATAAGGAAGAGGAGAGAAAGAGCCAAAAGGTAAGAATTTTATTTGTGCCTTCTGGAAAAGAAATTTTGTTTGGCTTGTATATTTAACATTTCTAATTTAGCAGGTTCCGTAATTGATTAGTACATACGTATTGCGAAGGGAATTAGTACCTATAGTCATGTAAGAAACGTGAAAATTAAAAGGTATATTAGTTGGATATTGATTTAATGGCATGAGTCGGATGGAAGATTGTGTGAATTAGTTGTTAATGATTTGGGTTGGTTTAGATGCCCTATATACATAGGTGGATGCAATGTGTCCAACTTGGTGAGTCCGCACGTCGACAAGGAAAGATATACATTTTTATTAATACAATAGGTAAATATGAATTTTTATGAATGTATACATGCATTTTATTTTAATCGGTTGTGTGAATGTGTTTGCATTTCATATGTTTGTAATTAGCCTGAACTATGAATCATACAATCACTTCCCATGTCATACTTTGTGATTTGTGAATATTTTATATATGCTTCCACAGTCAATTTTGTTAAATTGAGACATGAGATTTATATAGCCATACATATTTATAAACTGATATGTATTTAAGTCATATTGATCCACATGCATATCTATATTTATAAATTATCAAGAGACACACACATGTTGAAGCAAAAGCAATGGTCACATAAGCCTGAAAATTAGTCATGTTAGGTGATAGGTGGGTGGGGACAATGCGACCAAGTAGACGCCAGGCACTCTCAATATGATGAAGCATATAGGCTATGATATGATATGAAGCCTACGGGCTATGAGACATATGGATTATGGAGCCTACGGACTATAGAAGAAGTTTGACCTCATAAGCTTATGGGCTATAAACCTAGACCTAGACATCTAGGCATGACATCTTCTGAGGCTAAAAAGTGAAGTTATGAAATCAACGAAATATCTATGGATATGATTATGTATTATGATTATATGAATTACATACCATATTTAAATGTAATTGGTTTAAAGCGATGCTATTGATATTATATCACATGTTATTGAATGTGTAATTCAGGTGAACATAATTCTTCTATACTACAGTATATGTGATACATACCCAACATATTCTATGTTACAGTTACTATAGATTTGACTCATTTGAGTTGCTTACGTACGCTTTTTATATGCCATGTTGACTTAGCTGTTACTGCTCATGTTCATTAGTTTCTTTCTTACACGTGATTATTACATTAGAGTAGCATATTTTTATAGGCATTGTAAATCACCAGATTATTATTTTAGCTATTCTTACATGAAAAAGAAGAGTAAAGTTACGCCAGAATTGTGTCAAAATCAGTTTTTATTTTATGTTTACTTTTGTAAATATAAGAAAAATCTGAACTGAGTTCAGTAGTTTGTTAATAGTTACATGTTTTCAATTTTCCTATAGTTGTTTTGTAGATGAAATTTTTAAATAGCTTCAGCTTATGATTAATGTTTTAAGTTATGATCTCTTTTATAATTTGTTTTGCATTTGGATTATAAGAATTGTATTGAAATGAAATGTAATATAATGTAAATGATTTACGGTCTCTCTTCTATTGACTGTGAGCAGTAGGGTCAGCATAGGGCAAACACCTCAAGAAAATCTAGAAGTGATATAAAATGCTTCAAAAAGCAGATTAACAGGCAGCATAACATTTAGGTGCACGAAAGTAAAGAAATTTGTTTTACAAACTCTGCACGAAGCACACGAATAATAGCAACAAAAAGATAATCAGAACAAAAACTAACTGTGCAATAAGAGCCACCAGAACTATGGCAGCAAAGAACAACATTTTGGCTATGACCCTTGCATAACTGCCACCAACCACCCCTTTAGCAAGCAATATGCAGAGACAGCACAAAAGAAGACCCTCCCAAATCAAATATAAAATGACGGCCTTCCACTGAAGGGGATTCCAGGTCGCTGAATGAACTCATGCAGTTGTGGAGGCCACAATGCCATGCGGCACACACGATTGCAGATGGATTGGGAAAGCATAATGCCATAGGGAAAGACACAAGGAAGCATGCGACTGCTATCCTGAGTGGATAATAGAGCTTATGCCCTCGTGTAGGCAATATTCAATACACATTTGAGGATTCCAACTTCCCTAAAGGATGCCCTTATTCCCAGCCAAAGCGTTCCCTCTGTTCTGTGAGCGAGAGCTGTAAGAGCTCACGCAGCATCTAGAAGGAAAAGCTTAAGCAAAATCACCACTCATTGGCCACCTGAACTAGGCAATAATTCTAACAAATAATGTGAACGTTAAAAGAAAAAATGGTAAAATTTTAAGCAAAAAAGGAGCAAATGACTGAAAACACAACAAACCAGACCACCATCTAAAACTAACCATAATTCTATTTAAGAAAAAAAAAAGTTAAAAGTAAACAGCATTCCAATGATAACGTTTATTTACAATTCAACCCCAAGCAAATTAGTACATTGGTATGCTGCTAGGAAAATCAATAGACAAAAGAATAAATGGAAGAAGGTGATGAGAATAATTGCATGAAGACAAGAAAGCGAGAAGAAATGATTACCAATTCAAGGGAAAGCAAAGAAGGTGAAGGAGAATAATGAAACACCGAACCAAGAAACAAAATGGTTGCTTGATCACAATGATCAAGAGTAGTTCTACGGGCATCGATCCAAACCATAACATAAAAAGATTTCATATGAGATGGAAGCTGGAGGTCAAGAAGTAAAAGGACTGGGCACTTCTAGAATCTTCTTTTCATTGTTGTGAAGTAATAATATAAACCATGAAAGAAATTTTGGAAGATGAAACAATAAATATATATATCCAAAAATAAATATGGAGGGGGAATGTCGAGTGTTGTTGACTTGCTGGGCTCTTATCAATAAAAAAGTGTTTTTGGGCATGTCACTATTCTACGTAAACTAGCCGCTTTTAGAGTATTTAAAAATGGTGATCTTTAGCATAATTTTCAAAGCTAAAAAAAAAGATTTGACAGAAAATATTATGATTTTAATTGTCAATATAATAACAATTTAAAAAAGGTATGACATGCAACTTAAGGCATTAATATTTGAACTTTGAAAAAAAAAAGGATTTTAACGATAACCCTGATTTGAATTTGTAAAGGCAGCATAAAGATTTATCACAGGACATATGATTGCATTTATCATATTTACAATTGATATGAAAACATGTATTTGTTGTCTAGCATGCGCTTATTTTTCCCTATGCTATATGAATTTTGTTTTCTCCATTGTGTCATGTTAAGAGTCAAATTCTCATTTAAATCTAATAAAGAAATGTCATTTGATCATTTCTAATATTTTCTAACCAAGATTTAAGGTCTACATCTATCTTTCTTAACATAAACGAAATCTAATACATCTACTCTCCTAATCGGATCATCGGAAGATTGGCATTTGATGTGACCAAATCCTCTAAGGCGACTCTCTCTAATCTTATCTACCACTGGAGCTACTCCAACCTTTTCATGTATATGCTCATTTCGTATTATGTCTTTGAGGGTAGAGTCACTCATCCACCTAAGCATCCTCATCTTTGCAACACTTCTTTTTTTTTTATCTTTGCAACACTTAAATTATTAATATGCTTCTCTTTTAATGGCCAACATTTTTTGCCATAAAGCATTGCAGGTTTCATCACCATCTTATAGAATCTTTCATTAAGTTTGAGGGGTACTTTTCTATCACACAAGCCTGATGCATTCCTCAACTTCACCCAAAGTCAAAATCCACCAACTAAAGCTATTAATGCTAAAATTACATTCCATATATTCAGTTTTAAATTAACTCAAGCAAAGCCTTTAGATTCTAAGATTGACCTCCATAATTCAAGTTTACCTTCAACTCCCTCGCTAGTCTTATCAACAAGAATAATATCATCAGCAAAAAGAATACACCAAGCTACAACATCTTGCAAATATTTAGTGAAAACATCCATGAGTAAAGCAAAAAGATATGGGCTTAAGGCTAATCCTTGATGTAATCCAACTGAAATATGAAAATACTTAGTCAAACAACCTTGTGTTTGAACACAAGTAACAGCTCCTGCATACATATCCTTAATGACTTGAATATAAGCATTATTAACCCCATCTTTTCTAGAACTTTCCATAGCACTTCTCTTGAAACTTTATCATGTGCTTTCTCTAAATCAATATGTAGATCCTCCTTGTTTTCTCTATACTTCTCCATCAAACCTCTCAATAAATGTATAGCTTCCATAGTAGGCATACCCGTCATGAATCCAAATTGATTTTGAGAGACATTAGTATCATGCCGCAATCTATGCTCCATAACTCTCTCCCATAATTTTAAAGTATGACACATTAACTTAATTCCTCTATAATTTACACAATCTTGTGCA